TCCATTCGCAGCGAAGCCACCGACCCTTCGCAACGCTTGATGTTGATCAAGATACTGGGAGAGGTCAATCAACCAAGCTCTGTTGCAACACTCCTCAGCCTGATCTCAGGTTCTCGATCAAGTGCCATCAAGAATGCAGCGATGTTGGCCCTGATGAACTACTCTGATCCAAAAATAGGTCAGACAATCTGCTCGCGGTACCATTCATCCCTCCCGAATGAACATGGACTAAGAGAAACAGCGCAGCGAGTTCTGGCGAGCCGTGCCATCTGGACGAAACAATTCTTAAACGAAATCGAATCATTCCGAATTAAGCCGGACACTGTCTCTTTCGATGTTGTTCAGCAAATGCAATTGCATGCTGATCCCGAGATTGAAGAACTTGTGAAAAAGTATTGGGGCAACGTTCGTTCGACACCAGCTGAGAAACAAAACGAAATCGAACGGCTGGCCAACCTGTTGAGAAGTCAAGGAGTCTCGGGCAGCCCGGCCCGTGGACGGGAACTGTTCAAAAAACATTGTGGAGTTTGCCACACACTCTTTGACGAAGGTGGCCAGACGGGGCCCAACCTCACAGGCTATGAGCGGGATAACCTCGACTTCATGCTACTGGCCATCGTTGATCCCTCAGCAGCAATTCGAGAAGAGTTCACACAATTCCAATTACTAACACAGGATGGCAGAGTCCTCACCGGGTTGCTGGAGGAGCAGACGCCAACTCAAGTCACCATTCGAGGTGCAAACAATCAAGTCTCACTTGTGTCACGAGACGATGTGGAAGTTCTGAAAGCAATGAAAACATCCATTATGCCCGATGGGTTGACTCAAAAGATGACCGAATCAGAAATCCTTGATCTGTTTGCTTACATCACCAAGCCAACCCCATTAGTCTCAAAGTTGAAGTAATCGCTTTGACCGTTCTTAACTCAAAGCAAAAATGTCGCTGAAATGAAGTGAGTATAATTCCTGGAATTTGCAAAAACTATTCTCAGGAAACAGGTTACGCGATTGTCTGTATGTTGGCATTGGTGTTCAATCTCTCATGATTTTCGTTGACAAACTCTCAGTTCTTGAGAAGATGATACATCCCGGTTGTTCTGAGCCATATTGGTTGGGGAATTGATTTGGCGCAGACACTTGGGTATTTAGGTTTTCGAAGAGAGATCTTCAGCTTCCGCAATAGTTCGTTTCCAGGAAGGAATGTGGGTGATCACAAAGACGGTATTCCAGAGAAGACTCATCAAGTGAAGAGCCTTCTCAAGTCGATGTGATGTGCAAACTGGATGTTGCCAATTTGGTTTCAGACAGAAATTCTCTTGGCAAAGGTTCAATAGGAATCAAACCTCTGATAAAGGTCGTTTTCCTGATACCTTTGCCACATAAAACATAAGGCAGCTGTCCTATGGACGTCTTGTTGCCCAGCTATCACCTCAATCAGGCGACCTGGTTCTACCTGTCGTTCTTGTTGATCGTGGCGATTTATTTTCGCTTCATGCGAATTTTTTCGCTACGAAACCTCGACCTGGGTCTTTTACTCGCAGCTTCACCGGGATTGTTGTTCGTCGATTCACCAGTCGAGTCAACACAATCTCTCGGCCACGTCTGGCTCTTTGTTGTGGCCTGTGTCTTTCTGCTGCGCATGTTTCTCGACCCAATCCTTAGCCGCAGACCCTACCTGGGACAAAACCTCAATACCCATGGTATGGGTTTTCTCTTCTTTGCCGTTTTTGCTTTTTTAATGACTCAGGCAATCACTCGCTCATTGCCAACAGAAGCGGTCGAAACGGTCAAAAAAGCAGACCATCTCATGACGCGCACAGCGACTGACCCGGAAGTTCCTGAAGAGGACTTTTCGACTGGCGGTCCAGCCGCTCCAATTTTCGTTGTGATTATTAAATTGATCTTTGATGATCTCGCTCCCAGTATTCTGGCCATCCTGGCGCATGCTGCTGTCGTCTGCGGCTTATGGTTTGTCGGGAAGACCCTCTTTGGAGATAAAGGGATCGGCCTGGCGATGGCAACCCTTTATCTGCTCTTGCCGTGTACCGCTTACAACGTCGCTGAGTTCAATCATGTCTTGCCGGCAGCCTTAATCACGTGGGCCTTTGTCGCTTTCAGAAAACCAATCGTCTCCGGCATCTTGCTGGGACTGGCCTCAGGGACGATGCTCTTTCCGGTTTTTCTGTTACCGATCTGGGCCGCTTTCTATGGCAAACGTGGAGCATTGCGATTTGTCTCAGCACTGATGTTTGTGGCAGCCATTCTGGTCGCGAGCCTGGCCTTCACTTCGATTGACTCAGATTCGTTCTTCCAGAAAACGATCGGAACTATCAATGTTCCATTAGCTGCCCTGGCCAATCAGGAATTCTCTCCTGGATTCTGGAGAGATGCCGACTACGTCTCCCCTTATCGCTGGCCGGTCATGGCATCTTACTTCATTATGCTGGTCTTCATGACGATCTGGCCACGTAAGCGGAATGTTGAAGTTCTGCTGGCACAATCATCAGCTGCCATTATCGGGACTCAACTCTGGTACACACAAAACGGTGGTGTCTACTTGTTGTGGTATGTGCCACTTCTACTGATGGTCATCTTCCGACCAAGATTGTCTCATCTAAAACTGGAAGAGCAGCTGCCCGATACGGAAGTCAAGAAAGCGGAGCCGAAGGATCTCTCTTCCCCTTCAAACGTCACTTCTGTAAATAAAAAACTCCAACTGTTCCGATAGAGTTTTTACGGGCTGCGGGTGATTCTTCTGCAAATGGGACATTGAGCGTGTCTCTGTAGAATGCTGAACACCATTAAGAAATTGGTGACAATTCATCTCAATGCAGTCAAAGTCTGCCTGTATATTTCTCAACACAATCATCCTTTTCATCTTGTTCATTCTGCCAGAATTTTTGAAACGCAGAGAAATGAACTCAAGCATGGATAACACCATGCTTACATTGAATGGATCCTTTGCGCCTCCGCCTCTCTGCGTGAGATCTTCTCCACCACATAAAGACGCGGTGAAACGGCAGACAACGTCCCATCAGGCCAATGAATGACTGCGACATCGCCTGAGTCCCTCCACTCACTCAGCAACTGACTCACCGCTTCATCTTCAATTGTCCCTCCTGGATGTCCAACATAAGCCAGAATGGAAAAGATCCCTCCCGACTTGAGAAGTTTCTTGCCAGCCGACAATGCCTTGAGTGTGGTAGGCACCTGTGTCGTCTTTTCCTTGTCACCACCAGGCAAGTAACCCAGATTGAACACAATCGCTGAGACCTGTTCTTCATACTCCGTGCGCAGTTGCTCGAAAGTTTCGGCATGATCACCCAGAAGATATTCGACCTGCCTCAGACCAGAACAACGTGTCTCTGTTTTCTGAATTGCCTGTGGCTGTAAGTCACAGGCAATCACCTGTCCCGCTTCCCCGACAAGCTGAGCCAGAAAGATGGTGTCATACCCGTTCCCACACGTGGCATCGATCACAATATCACCCACAGCGACGTGCTCAGCCAGATACTGATGGGCTAGTTCCGTTAGTCGTACCATCGTGACACCTCGAATTGTGCAGGGATCGGTTCACCATCGAGCAGATGTCGCACCAGTCGTTTGGCCATGACGGGAGCCCACAGCGAGCCTTTGGAACCGAGACCGTTCAAGATGGAAACTCTTGGCTGCAACGGTATCGTCCCCACGATCGGCAGAAAGTCTTTCATTGTTGGTCGAATCGCTGCCTGATGTTCACAAACGCGAAATCTCCCAGCCACGAGTTTGCCCAAATCATCCAGCAGTTGCTGCTTTGCATTTGTAGTTGGGGCTTCCGTCAAATCATCCCAATCATAGGTCGCACCAACTCGAAACAGACCCTGCTGCTCAGGTGCAACCCAAATCTTTTTATGAATCACTCTCTGTTGAGAAAGCTCATCAATCTCAACAGAGAGTATTTCCCCCTTGCAGGCATTAAAGCGAATCGGTTGCATCCACTCAGGGACCACATGCTGAAACCCCTGACAGAGAATCAATCGCTCCGCCGAGATGTTTAAAGGGGGAATCGTGACCTGTTGTTGGTCAATGCTTATCTCTTGCAGCAAGTCCAGATCGTACTTGAGGAATTGTCTGGCCTCAGAAAAGTATTCTCTCGATGCCAGCAAATAGTTCCGAGTCAGCAGCCGGCCACCTTCCATCTCGATTCCACCCCAACCAGGATCAATCAAATATGATGAGAGAGTTCTCAACCGACGAACCGCACCGCCATCGTATTGGCCCTCTCGCTCTCGCTGTTCAAATCGCTCTCGCTCTGCTTCAGTTTGAAAAATCCGCAACATCGGCTGCGAGAGATAGCAAGAACTTGTCGTCCGGTTTTCAACATCCCGATAGAACTTTTTGGCCTCGTTCCAGTTAGTCTCCCAATCGGGCGACATGACCAGCCGCTTCCCCGTAATCGGCGTCATCAGACCGGCAGCGATCTTCGAAGAAGTCACTTCATCATCTCGGTCAATCACCAGAAATCGACAGCCAGCTGCCATCAACTCCCAGGCAACAGCCGTCCCCGCGATCCCTTGTCCCAAGATGATGAAATCGTAATGTTGACTCATCGATGAACGTTCTCTTGATGGTTAACAATAGGAAATTCACCACGGAGGCACGGAGAAACACTAAGGAAGGAATGGTCTGGCAACCTATTCAAACACAAATCAATAGCATTCATTTATTGAAACAAGCAATGAGTCATTGAGATGAGTAAACGAAGATCTTCGCAAATTGAATCCGCGTCAATCCGCCGCATCCGCGAAAATTCGCGTTCAATTTACCATGAAAATTCAACAAGACGGAGTTTTACTTACTCTTCAAAGTGAACATGTCTCACCTTTTCTCAGTGCCTCCGTGTCTCAGTGGTGCATCCCCCATCAATCAGCCTCCGTTCGGAGAATCTCAATTCAATCCGATTGCCGACTGATTCTAACTTCGGTATGTTCAATGGGTGTACTCCCTCACTTTGATTTGCCATGAATCAGCCGATATTTTCCACCGATCAACCTGAACTGACCAGTTCTCCCTGCTTACAGGGGGAACGGGTCACGTTTACCGGGACTCTTGCCTCGCTGACGCATGCCGAGGCAGCGCAGCTGGTTGAGGAAAATGGCGGGACCGCCACCGATTATGTCAGTCGGCAGTTGACGATGTTAGTCATCGGGGAGGAAGGCTGGCCGCTGGAAGACAATGGTCAACCGTCGGTAAAGCTGCAACAGGTCGAACGCTGGATTCAATCCGGTGCCGACATTCAGATTCTGAATGAATCACAATGGCTGACGCTCCTCGGACTGAATGACCATCGCGATGAAGTGCACCGTCTCTACACGCCAGCGATGCTCTCTTCGATTCTGGGGATCTCGGTCCATGTCATCCGCGGTTGGGAACGCTCCGGGCTCGTTCAACCAGTCAAGAAAATTCACCGCCTCCCCTATTTCGACTTTCGTGAGGTCAGCTCCGCCCGCAGACTCAGCGATTTGATGAACGCCGGGATCACGCGAGAGGAGATTCTCGATAGCCTCAAGCAACTTCCCTCGGTCCGTAGAGGGGATGAACGACCGCTGGAGCAACTCCAGATCCTCGCCCACAGCCTGGGAGTCCTCGTCCGCGATTCACACGGTCTGGTGATGCCCGCCAGTGGTCAGCGCGTCTTTGATTTCGATTCAGAACCAGAATTTGAAGAACCTGTTGAACCGACCAAATCCCCTTCGACCTTGCTGAACAATATTGCTCACAGTCCTGATGCTCCTGTTGAGGAATTGAATCGAGACTGGCTGGTCGAAGGCTGCCGCCTGTACGATGCGGGCAATGTGGCTGACGCTCTTGAAGCCTTTCGACTGGCAGCCATGTCTTCCCCACAAAGTTCAGACGTGCACTTTCAGCTGGGTGAATGCCTCTATCGGCTCGGCAATATTCAGGGGGCACTAGAGAGATATTACGCAGCTGCCGAGCATGATCGCGACTTTCTCGAAGCCTGGACGCAGATTGGTTGCCTGCATAACGAACTGGAAGAGAGAACCTCCGCCCGCACTGCGTTTCAGGTGGCTCTTTCCATTCTCCCCGAGTACCCGGATGCCCATTACCATCTGGCAGAGACACTCAACGAACTGGGCGAAACCGCACTGGCCCGGCAACACTGGCAGGAATACCTCAAACACGACCACCGCGGCCCCTGGGCCGACATCGCCCGCGCGCGGCTTGATAACTTGGGCTGATCGCACCATGCCGGACATTTCAAGTGTCCGACTCAAGAATCCCTGACAAAACCAGTTTGCTTCATTAGCCCACGGTTCTTGGAGGTGAACCGGACGTTCCCAGAGGGAGCCCAGCGTTCCGGCTGATAGTAATGTCAGGAGTTCCAAGTAGTTCAGTTAAAAGTCATCGTGTTCAAGTTCTTCCCCACCCGTCGCTGTCGAGAGAGCTTTCAGCACTGTTGGATCGACTTCTTTAGAAATGCTACGCACGCTGCCATCTGCGAAAGCAGCGTGTGCTCCACTCCAATGGAATGAAGAGAGCATGCCCTGCGACATTCCTTTCTTCTCTCCCGCAAGATTAACACCCACGGGAATCGCAGCGAGGTCAACATCTCGCGGTTCACTCCAGGCAATGTTTTGTCCACAAGCTTCAACAAGCATTAAAGTCTGTGATAGTCCGTCGCCTTGTATAACACCATCGATGCTTCTGGGTAAACTCTTGTCCCATACTGCATCCTTACCCGTCAGCGCAGCATACGCTGTTTTTTGATAGCCTTCGCTCGTTGTCGGAAACGGATCAGATGGACATTGAAAATACTTAACCTCTGTTTTCGCGACATCGATATTGCTGCCGGAATTCCAAGCTATTGTCTTGTCGTATCGCTCATATAACGGCTCTTGGTCTAAGTAAAGCAATAAATCAACTCGCCAACTCTGTGGTGGATCACCGGCAGATGTTGGTGGGAATGAGTCCTCTTTAACATCGAACGAATCCCATAATGCTAAACTGATATATTTCATGTTATTTCGGCATGATTGTGCTCGCCAATGTTCCGGTGGATCGACATGTGAAGGCAATAATAACATGATGACCGCAACCAAACAGATGAATACTTGAAGCAGAACGAATAGGCCTTCGAGATCCTGTAACGTTCGATGAGTATCAGAAAAACAAGTTTGATACTTACAACAGCAAACATAGCCTGCAATTCCTGTGATACAGATTGTTATTACGAATAACACAAGGCCAATATTGTTTACCTGAATGAGATGATGCTGTGGGAAAATCTGCAAATTTACGATAACGATAAAAAGCAGTGTGATCCCGCCGACATCAAATGTTCGCAACCGCCAACGTTTCGTACAGATCCACCAGAGGCAATATGCATAAAACACCAACCAACCCCCGATCCACAACGTCAAGCCCCACTGTGAATAGGGAAATGGAAGGGGAGGATAGGAGTACATTGTCTTGCTCTGTTTTGTGTGAACGCTCATGCCGGACATTTCAAATGTCCGATGAATCGTTCAATTAAAAGTCTTGAGGATCAATTGCTTCCCCACCCGTCGCTGTCGTGAGAGCTTTCAGCACTGTTGGCTCGATCTCTTCGCTGAGGAAGCGGACGGCTCCATCTGCGAAGACGACTTGTGTTCCTCCCTGATGATAAGATGACAGCGCACCGTCGGAGCGTCCCAATTCTTTTCCGGGGGCATTGATTGCGAGTTTCGTTTCCGACAGGTCTACATCCCGAGGTTCACACCAGGGAATATGCAGTCCGCAGGCTTCAACAACCAACAGCGTATTGCTCGTTCCATCGGACATGCTTCGTATAGATTGTGATTGCTCCGGTTGCAGCGGAGTCTCCGCACCGAAGAGTCCCACGTAAGCTGTGGTATGATAGTCGCGTTCATCGGTAAAGAATGGATTCGAAGGACATTGATAAGCCCAGATTTTCGTCCTGGCGATCCGCTCATTCTCACCATCGTTCCATTGTTTTGTAAAATCGTACTTTTGATAGAGCGGAGCATGATCCACAAAGGGCAGCAACGTCACCCGCCAGCTATGCTTTGGTTCTCCTTGAAGCAAAGGGGGGAACACCTCATGAACATCGTGATAGTTATGAAAAGCCAAACCGAGTTGCTTGAGGTTGTTTTTGCACTGTGTACGACGGGCTGCCTCTCCAGCACCTGAGAAAGCCGGAATCATGCAAGCCCAGAGCAAGATGAAGATGAGGATCCCGGCAAAGCTGTCCCAAACCCGTTCATGGCGCTCACTTCGACTAAGCCGATACCAGTTCAATATAGTCGCAATAAGAACCATCCCCCATGTAAGGGGCAGCCAAAAAGGATAAGGGACGGGCCAACCGGGAGTGTCGGTATATTCACCGGTCAGCGCTGCATGAAGTGTCAGCCCAACGATCAGCAGCACAGCCGCATCGCCTCTCCTCGGCTCCCGCTTTGGTCTGGAAATCCAGGCAACAATCGACATGCCAGCCAGAAACCACAGCGACTGATTGAGAATCGTTTCAGTCGTATTAAAGCGCCAGGACTCTGCGGGGAATTCGTACATTAACGATGGCCAAGATTAGACGTCATTACGCCGGACATGTTCAATGTTCGACTAAGTCTCTTTATTCATCATCTTCTGCTTCTTACGTCAACGCAACATGTTTTGTTGGCTAGTTCACTTAGAAGCCCTAACAAAACCAGTTTGCTTCATTAGCTCACGGTTCTTGGTAGTGAACCGGACGTTCCCAGAGGGAGCCCAGCGTTCCGGCTGATAGAAATGTTAGGATTACGAAGTAGTTCAATTAAAAGTCTTGAGGATCAATTGCTTCCCCACCCGTCGCTGTCGAGAGGGCTTTCAGTTTCGTAAGCTAGGTTGGCAGATTAAAACAGAATTAAACCACTCGAATTGTGTGGGGAAATGTTCAGTCAAATCCAGAACTGCGAGCATAACGTCAATGCTGGGATATGCCTCGACGGCTATCCCCAGCCTGCCCCACTCACCCAGATGTCAACGGTTGAATGGAGCCGAGATCAAACTTCGGAGGCAATTGACGCAAGGTTCTCACCGATTCCCGCGCCTTCTATTTCTTTGAGTTTCGTCCCGGTGGAATCGTCAAGAGCTTGGGCGCGTTGGCTTCTTTGTCGACACTCGCAGCGGGTTCGCTTATCAAGACATCACCGAGGGTTCTTTTCCAGTCGGAACGAAGAAGCAAGTCGAAACCAGGATTCTGATTTTTGACCTGACAAGAGCATGGCCCCGCCATAAACGCTGAAGCAGATCGAATGGTATCCGAAGCGATTCCATTGCCAACGAGCGCGTAGAGTACTCTGCCACGACCGAAGACAGGAAACGCCAGAGGTTGATCATATTCCACAAGGTCTATTTCGCTGTTCAGCAATGACTGTAGCAGGAACTGTTCAGCAGGATCCTCCCGGTTCAGCGTTACCGTAGAGAATTGAATCTTTAAGGGCACATTGACGCGTTCGAGGACATCCGAGGGAATTTCCAGTTCCTCGGCCGACGGCAACTCCAACCATGCCTGGTCAGCCTTAAGTTGCGTTTCAAGGCGCTGTTGAGCAGCTTTGTCGTCGGCTTCCCGGCCACATGGAACGAAAATCCAGACAGCCGAGTCTCCTGCTCCAAGGCGTTTCGCGATCTGACGGCGAACTGGAGAATCGAGCAGAGAATCGACTACCGATTCTGTAAGCTCCCCCTGGAACATGGAATCCTTGCGTGAAATACTATTCGCTCGAGGATAATCCACAAGTACCAGCGGATTCGACGGATTAGCCTGTGACTTCCACTTGGCAAGCAACCTGGGGGTAACTTCTTCTTCGTCGCTGACGTTGAAGATCCGTACATCGATCGATGCGGCAAATCTCGCTGAAGATTCAGCAGCCTTACGGAGTCGAGCCAAGGCTGCCGACTGAGGCTCGTTCAGTGGCTTCTCGTGAAGGACTGTGATTCGATATCGGTCGGCATTCCAGCGTTCGAGCGCGTAGCGAAAAACTGGAACCTGACAAGCGAATGCGGCAGTCGAACAGGCACTGAACACGAAGAGCATCATTCGGAACGATACTCTCTTGCGGGTCATCAATCGTTTATTCATCAGATTCAGCTCCTGCTGCGGCCGTTCTTTCTTCACGTATCAATTCGATGCCACACAGGCTCGGCAGTTCCTGCAACTCTGAATAATCGATGTCAGCGAACAGCTGATTTTCTACCCGCACTTTATAGGATACAGTTAATGTTGGCTTGCCGTTCACGGTCCCCAGCATGCTGTCCGATATCTTCCCCGGTACCGTCTGACCACCAAAGCTGACCTTCATCTTTTGGAGAGTTGAAGCATCGACCTCAGCGAAGTGGAGTGTGACCACGTAAGTTGCGGGCTTGTCCTCTGCTGAAAGCAATTCCGCTTCAAAGTGTTTCAACCCTCTTGCACCCGAGGCGAACAGCCAAGGTTCGCGACAATGACGGAAATCGGAGTTGTTTTGATTTCGATTGTACCAGCCCCCACCTTCGACAAACGAAGGTTTGATGTCCAACACATACTCAAGTCTTCCGCGAGTGCTTGGACGAGGAACGCCAAACCATTCTCGTTTGTTCCCATCCATGAAATCGCCGGGAGCACCTAAATTGATTCCAAGGCGGCGAACGGGAGTTGAACTTCCGACGGCGCTGAAGATGCCCCAGGATTGACTCTCACTCTTTGGTTCGAGAACGACTGTGGCAGCAATGGAAAACTGACACACACAGCCAGCACTGGCTTCAGGAATCATGACCAGGCCGTTCCCTGGAATTGCGTTCACCCAGCAACCAAGTCGCTGACCTGCAAAGTGCTTCGTTCCGCTGTCATTGTAAAGGTCGTAGTAGCCAATAAAGCCTGACCGGAAGAACATCATGTTTGGTGTGGCCGTGATAACGCCACAGTGATGACCCGGACGGCTAAACCTCCAGTCACTGTCTTCGCCTGTAATCGGGTGCGGACGTTTTTTTGTTTCGCCGGTAGAGAGGTCAAAGGCCCATGGCTCTGCGAAAATCTCGCCTCCAACGACTGCCGGACGATTCATATAGTTCGCGTTCTTAGACCAAATCTCTTTGCCAGTCGCTGCGTCGAGTACCAGCAATTTGCGTTTCTCGAATTCACCAGAAAGGAACTGTCGCCAATAGTGACCGTTCGCGTTCGCCCCGCACAGCACCAGATACCCGTCTGCAAACATCACGGTCAGGT